CTGCAACCTCCGCCTCCTGAGTTCAAGCGATTCTCCTGCCTCAGCCTCCTGAGTGGCTGGGATTACAGACGTCCGTCACCACGCCCAGCTATTTTTTTTAGTAGACACAGGGGTTTCACTATGTTGGCCAGGCTGGTCTTGAACTCCTGACCTCAGGGTGATCCACCCTCCTTGGCCTCCCAAAGTGCTGGGATTACAGGTGTGAGCCACCGTGCCCAGCCTCCTAATGGCTAACTTCTACCTGAGATTTCCTAGGGGAATATAGCGCAGACCTCTCCATCAGAATGCTCCTTCTTGGGAGAGCCCACCAGCCTGGGGGCTCACTCCTCCCTTCTTCCCCAAACTCCTGGCCTCAGGATGTCACAAGAAGCCCCCTCTGGTTTGTTTAGTTCACCAAAGCACTGTTTCTAGAAGCATCAAATCTCAAAAAAAAAAGCTTGAACAGCTCAGTACTTTGGGTTTGGGGACAGGTGGCTGGAGTGTCACTTACGGAAGCAGAGGAAGAGCGTGTCCACACACATGCCGAAAACGCTGAAGAAGCCGCTGGCGATGACATAGGCCCCCAGGATAGAGGTCTGGAAGACACATGGCTCATTGGGGTTAAAGCGTTCCTTTGGGGAGTTGGGGGTCGAGCGGCAGAGAGGAGAGTCACTCACCATGATGGGTAGCCAGTAATAGTTGAGGTGGGGGCTCTCAAAATCTTTACCCAGCCCCTGGATGCGACCGGAGAAAAAAAAGAAGGACAGGACCCCTGTGGGAGAATTCTGGGGGTCAGTGCTGCTCCTCTGAGACCACCTCTTTAGCTGCCCAGCATCCCACCCTCTGCCCCCACTCCTCCTGGTCCCTTACCGACACCTCCGACCACCAGCAGCTTCCCAAAGAACAGCAGCAGATCTGTGACTTTATCCAGGACAACCACCCTGTACCGGAAATTAGGGGAGGTTGGGGGTGAGAGGCCTGGCAATGCTGACAGTAGAATAGGCTGTCATTTGTGGGGACAGTGCAAAACGAAAATTGTTCACATTTCAAGATGGGAAAAACAGAGCACTAAATTAAGTCTAGGGCCCTGCTGAACCCAGCACGCCCATGAAGCCAGCCTTGGGTGGGAGATGGGAGGAGGGAGCCACCAAGGGGTGGGGAACAGCCTAACCTGACAATGTTTCGCATGAGTAGCATGAAGGCATTTTTGGCTGAGACACAGAAATTCTTCCCGTAGATGGCGATCTGAGGGGGATGGGAAGGTCAGAGTTACCAAGGTGAGCGTGCCTGGACCAGGATGGGGGTGTCTAGGCCAAAGGGCATCGGAACAAGAGGTTTCTTGCAGTGTGGCTCACCATGATGTATGCATTGCGGTTTAGAAACTTGATAAATTTTTCCAGACACCAGAGGCAGCACTTGAAACAGCACATGATGCAGCGGGCTACGGGGTTCTGCACTCCTGGGAGCAAGGGAAGCTCATGTTTGCTCTCTGGCCTCTTACAGCCCCTCCCTAATGGCCTTCCCCAGCTCCTGACTCCTACTCCAACTCTGGGCTCACCTTTCAGCTTGTGGTCAATATACTCCAAGATGGCCCTGGCTATCTGCACAAGGGTCAGGATGAGGGCTCCAAATGCCAACGACCCAGTGTGGTAACTGCAGAGGGTGTTATGTAGTCAGGGACAGCCCCAGGACCCCTGGGGCCCCCATGCTTACAACGACCAGACCCCTGCCCCATGCTTACCGGAGTGTGCGGACGAAGGCAGAGAACAGGGGGAAGGTGGGGATGTCCTGGGGCTTGTGGAAGGCCCAATAGAAGGAGGCAAAGGCTCCAGCCAGGACGCATTGGCCCAGGGCCAGTACCCAGTTAAGGGTCCAGAAGAGCCCCAGGACCCCATAGATTTGCAGGTTGAAGAGAGAACGTTGGACAAGGCCTGTGGATGAGTAGCCCTGGAAGACGCACATCAGCCCTGGGCACGAGGAATTCACAGGCTGGGCCTGGGAGGGTATAGAGGGATAGAGTAGGCTCAGGCTTCAGGGACCTTAGTATGGAGCCTGGGCGTTCCATTCCCAGTAGCTCCTGCCCCTCCCAGAGTCAACAGGTGGGAAATAGCAGCTTCCTTTAACTGGGGGAGTCAAGTTCTGTCCAAGAGTTCCAATCTCCAGGCTCAAACTCAGTGTGGTCTGCCTGTCACATGAGTGGTAATCAGCTCCCTCAGTGTCAGTCAGAGGGGAATGTACTCGCTCAGCATTTCCTTCCCAGAGCAGCTTCTGCAGCATCTACCAAAACCCTTTCCAGCAAATAGAACAGGCTGGGCAGTTGATGATATTAAGGAGTTATTGTTAATGTTGTGAGGTGTAATAATGATATAGTGGCTAGGCTTTTAAACAGTTCCTGTCTGTTGAGATCCATCCCGATGTATGTACTGGTGAAATGGTATGATGTCCAGAATTTGCCTTAAAAGTCTCCAGAAAAAAATTTATGAGGCTGGGCACTGTGGCTCACGCCTGTAATCCCACAACTTTGGGAGACTGAGGCGGGCAGATCACCTGCGGTCAGGAGTTCAAGACCAGCCTGGCCAACATGGTGAAACCCTGTGTTTTTTTTTTGAGACGGAGTTTCGCTCTTGTTACCCAGGCTGGAGTGCAGTGGCGCGAT